CACCCGAATGGATCAAAAAACCGTAGGCACTTATTTAACAAATAAGGCATAGTTTGGGCACTTATTTGGGCCTTAAGCCATTAATTAATAACAAATGAATTTAAAGCGATGCAATACCCCAATTGAGTTGAGAGCTTGTGGGTGATAAAAGCGTTGAAAAAGAGAGGAACGTACGAAGCCTTGCAACACTTCATAATTGTTTAATTATGGGTAAACTACATTATCACTTAGTTATAGGATGATTCCAATTAAACCACTGATCAGTTACTTTTTCCAATCAAATTCTTTAATTATGTAAACTATAAAAGCTATATACTGTTGAAATTTAATGGAATAATTGATGTTATAATTAAAAAAATTGATATGATTATATACAGTCTTTAAAATTTAGACAATCATAAGATGATTATAATAATATATTTTTACCTCATTTATAAATATGAGACATTTTCATTATTATTATTTTAATTAGTTTTCTATAAATATATAAATTAAATGAATTATAATAAAGTCTTAAGAATAATATGATTATTCTTAAAAGGTATTGCCATCGACATAAGAATATTAAAATCAATACCTAAGTAGGAATTACAGAATAACATATTGGTCATACTTGTTATGAGCATCTCTCGAATTATTATTATGTAATAGTTACAATATTATCTATAGTGATAATTATATGTAAGATCCTCAGTTTTGAGGTAATCATTATTTGTGCGTTACATGTTTCAATACAATCAATTGTGTATCGTAATGGGTCACACTATAAAAATTGATGTTGGATATGCAATGATATATATAGTGGGATATATTTAATTAAAAATGAGATTTGTCCCCTTAACATAATGAGAGCAACATTTTAAGTCACTTATCTAGTCAGACCATAAATATATGACCATGTTCAAATAAATTGATATGGAATATCATACTTATTTGTCTATTTTAATCTACTCAATATATCAAGAAATATTAGATGGATTATACCAATGTGACTATTTCATGACTTGTGCCCAATCTAGATATAAAAGATAAAAGAATGTAATACATGAAAAAGGATTAATCACAAAAAAAAATATGTTGAACCATGACTCTTTATAACTTAGATGACAATGATGTATTGTTAGATGTCATTTATTGTTTGTAATATTAGAATTTTTCTTATATTATTACTATTGTTATAGAAACATACATGATCACATCCTATGTTTGGAACAAATGAATTCAAGTATGGTTGAAAATATATATTTAGTTGTCACATGAATTAAACAGATTAATTTAATTAATTTAATTGGACAATTGAATAGTGAATGAATTGTATGTATCAATATGTATACACAAAATGATATGGTACAATCAAAATTGTTGTTATGAGATAATTATGATTCTTTATAATAATTAAATATATCATTGTTGTATTTATATAAGTACGGTACAACTAAAAGTATTGTTATATGTTTTAATTGATTTATCACATATTTTATTTAAGGATAATTTAAAATCTAAATAAAAGATTAATCAAAAAGACTATTAGTTTTAAGCTTACGAAAATACTTGGAGTATATATAGGATGGTCTAGCAGATGTTTTATATGCTCAAGCAAAATACTCTATGAAATAGTTTCAATTTTACTCTTTGTTTTTTTTGTTCATTTTAATTGGGTAGACGGCGTAAAGGTTAGAACGTTTCACTTTGTAGCTTGATTGACATTGTGTCAAGTGGATCAAAATTTGCAGGCATCTTCTCAATGTGTTATTCCCAAATAAATAAGTGTAATGATCGAGAGAAAACTGAATCAATGGTTGAGCTTTGGCCCGGGGAAATCACAAGGAGGCTTAAAAGATGGGTTAAGTTATTAGAGATTTTTATTATAGACCCAAAAGATAAGAATTTAAAAATCAAAGAAATGTGAAGACTCATAGGGTAATTATACACTTTAGATAAGAAAAATCTATTCTTGTCATTATTATGTTTCTGCCGTAGAGTATGAGAGAAGCTAGGCAGGGAAAGAAAACATTTCTTTTACAAGAACTCCATAAAACTTTTCTTTCTTCTTTTCAACAATCATCCACCAATCGATTGCTTGTATTTTTAGGAGCTTGGAAAAGGTAATCAATAGTTGAGAAATATACATATATATAGACATATAATTTCGAGCTATGAATGGAGTAGAAGTTCTCATACTTCAGGGGGGGGAAATCAAATATAGGAATTTGATGGGTATGAATGCCGTTAAGGTTTGAAGGACAAATGGATTAAAAATTTAGTAAATTTTTATCGTTCCAATTTTCTCATAGTTTCATTTCCTTCTAATATAGAAAAAGAAGTATGAGGACTATCTCAAACAAATGGCAAGGAGAAAGTTTGAAGGTTGAAGAGGAGAGCTTCATTCCTAGCTATTTTGTAAGGTAAATGTACTTTTATTCTTGGTGGATTCATATGCTTATAAAGAGAAGTAATTGTGAATATAGTTGCATGTTCAGGTGACTTAATGTCACTCCGATTTAATCGTTATTACCATTTGATAGGCGAAATCTTAAGCTTCACTAGTAGAACTAAGTGTTAATTTCAATGGCAATAGTCTATGTTAAGTTCCACGGCAGGAATTAAGTATTAATTTCACAAGTGTAAGTCTATAGTATGCTGGAATTAAGTGTTAATTTCACCGGTGTAAGTTTATGATAAGTTTTACGGTTGGAATTAAGTGTTAATTTCACCGGTGCAAGTCTATGTTAAGTTTTATAACTTGAATTAAGTGTTAATTTCACCTGTGTAAGTCTATGTTAAGTCTCACTGTTGGAATTAAGTGTTAATTTTACCAATGTATAATTTCACTGGTGGAATTAAGTTTTAATTTCACTGGTATAAGTACATGTTAAATTTCACTAGTGTAAATATGTATTATGACATATACTATGAAAATAACATAAAAGATGTGTACATGCATGGATTAAAGCTGGATGAATGATAAAGAACTATGGCTCACTTGGTACATAAGGATATAAAATCATTTTAATTTCAGGTGACACGTACGGAAGCCACAAAGAATTAGAGTGACTCATATGAGAGCAATTAATCATAATTATTTATGGGTGACTCGTACGGGAGTCCCGAAGGATTAGAATGACTCGTTCGAGAGCACCTAATCATAATTAATTCTAGGTGACTCGTACAAGATCCCTAAAGGATTAGAATGACTCATACAGGTGCACTTAATCATAATTAATTCTATGTGACTCGTATGGGATCCCCCAAAGGATTAGAGTTACTCGTACGAGAGAACCTAATCATAACTATTTATGAGTGACACATACAGAAGCCCTGAAAGATTAGAGTGACTCTAATGAGAAAACCTAATCATAATTAGTTTTGAGTGACTCGTACGGGAGCTCCAAAGGGTTAGAGTGATTTGTACGGGAGCACCTAATCATAATTATTTTCGGATGACTCATACGGGAGCCTGAAGGATTTGAGTGACTCGTACGGGATACCTAATCATAATTAATTTTGAGTGACTCATATGGGAGCCACGAAAGATTAAAGTGACTGGTACGAGAACACCTAATCATAACTAATTTCAGGTGACTCGTACGTGAGCCCCAAAGTAATTGAGTGAACTTGAAAATATTACAATTGCGTATTAAAATTAACGGGAAACCATCTTACAGCGTAAGAGATACATATATATATATATATATATATATATAACTCAAAAGGTTACATTTCATACACTTTTCTCTTGTGTTACTTTATGTCATATGAATCTCCCAGAATAATTGTACATTACTGGGCACTAGTGACTCATTTTTTTTAATTGTCTATCTTCTCAAGAATCAAGATCATGGATGTATATCATCCCCTAGAGGAGCGTCATTGTCGTGGAATCTGAACCTCGCATTTAGAGTACAGTATTGAATTTCTATGTGGGGCTATTGTATCCATGTAGATCGTTCAGTGTTGGTCTCTAAACTACATTTTGTTGTAAAATGTTTTGAAAAATCGCTTCTCTTTTTTGTGAATATTTGAAAAAAATGGAACTCTACTTCTTAAATTCAAATCTATTCATGCATTTATGGATAATCATTGTTTTATTTTTTTTTTAGAGAAGGTTAAGTTTGAAAGAAGGAGTCTTCTAGGAATGTTACTCGAGTCCTTCGAGTCATTATGAGGTGACACTTTAAGCTACAACATGTCTATGATTTTACAATAAGGTAATATTTCACATCTCTTCCTACATTCGTCAATCATTTATTAAATTTTAAAATAGACTGTCAGATTAAACTTTTTTATGTGTCATGAGATGTACCAATAACTCTAATGGATCATATTGTTTACTTCAAGAAAATTTGAGGTAATAACATATTTATGATGTATTTAAATTTTTACCGTTATATATGGATAATATTGATATATTTAACGAGTTTATAATCTTGGTTGATAAATTTAAATATATTTTTTATAAATTTTAATTTTAATTCTAATCTTATTTAGAGGGAAGAAAATGAGGAATTCTAGAGAAAGGAAAGGATTGCTCTTAGTGGGTAAGGAAATATAAAGGAACAAAAATGAACAATTTGGTCAATCGATCAAATGTAATTATTTATTATAATATTTTTTAAGATATTATTGTGATGGAATAAATTATTATAATTATTAATTTTCAACAAAATATTTATAGTAAGACGAGTCTTAACTACATCTCGATCCTTTATACTAATATATCTAATTATTATTGTTATTTGAAAGATACTAATATATTTTATTTTTACTTAAATTTATATACAAAAAATTTCTAAATATAAAAATTATTATTTTTCTTTCAAAAATTAAAACTTGAATATATATATATATATATAATAAAATAAATAAAAACCTTAGCAAAATAATTAAATAGTCTAATTTAATGCATATATTTTAACTTATAGTGCAGTACATTTGTCCACGGTGAAAACTTAGAACATGAAAATTTTACAGAACTAGTCTTTTGTTTTATTTTCCTTGTTTATTATCATGCGGAATGAGACTCAACTTATTTATATATCTGAAAAAATAAATAATAATGAAAAATAAACATATAAATGCTCCTCTGACTAGCTCAACCAATGTGTGCTCGATCACTCACCTGTAAAAATTCATTTCACCATTGCCGGAATCCCTGTCCCACTTGGTACGACATCAACTCAACATGGTTGATTCTTGGTGTTTATCTGACCATCTTGTGCTAATCAGGTTGGTTTTTTTTCTGATATGCATCATTCATTTGTGTTCATTGAAACTGGTTTGCTGGCAACAATCTCAAAGCTCCCCCCTTCATCTTCTTCTTCCTCGTCTTCGTCTTGATTCTGATCACTTTCCATGTCTTCCATTACATGGTCGTGTTGAGGCTGGGGAGGAGGAGGCCATTGCTGCTCTGGGCGTACCATCAGTGGGACTGAGTTGTGGTTGTGTTTAGAGCTGTCATGTTTGTTCTTTTCTCTATATAAAGCATCGAGTTGGTGGAAGTAGGGACATGTTTTTGAATCCTCGGGCCTCTTCTTGTTGCTCTCTTTCACCTTCTTGAAGTACTTATTTATGTTCTCCCATTTCTCTTTGCATCTTTTGGCGTTTCGATTGTAGCCAAGCCTTTTCATTTCTGCTGATATCTCCTCCCACAATGGTCCTTTTGGACCACTGTCTTGGTATTTTGCGTCCAGGTTAGCCCTCAGGCTAATCAATGCTTCGATTTCGACTTTAGGCCACCTTGAAGAGCTCGGTGTGTAGCTTTGATCGCCGTTATCTGACTTCGACACATCTAAATTAGCCCCTTGTGGCGGAACTGGTGGTGGCGGCGGATCTGCCAATGCCACTGCCGACACTGGCTCTGGAAGAGCTCGATGCTGCTGCTGTTGCTGTGGCTGCTGCTTCTGCTCGGATAACTTCTGCAAAAAGGCCATAACAGCTGCATCCTTCGCTGCTGCAGTGGATCTTTCTTGGCTTAATATCTCTTGTTCTCTATTCAATCTAGACATTTCTTGCATCCTCCAAGCTTCTTCACGGACCATTCTTTCGCGCTCGCGTTTCTCGATTGCTTCCAAGAATTTATTCTGCATCTCCTCCTGCTTCTCAATCACCTCCTTCATTAGCCTCTCGAAAAAGTCCTTCCATTTCCGTTTCCTCTTCCTATGACCTTCTAATCCTAAATCGGACGAGGTGGACGAAGACGTTGAATTCGACATCAGATCTGCCGAAGAAATGTTAGGGAAAGACGGAATTGTAGTGCTTGTTGTCGTCGATGGGAAGGAAGGAGGGACTGTAACGTTTATATTCGGAAGTACCATATTTTGCTGCACACCGGTAAGTGATGTGGATGGAACATTGACTTGGGGCACAGTTGGGAGATTAGTCGTCCCTGCCGCCGCCATTGCAGGCGTTAGTTGCGGTGATGATTGAATGGAAGGCTGGCTTTGGAGGGCTTCTAATTGATCGAAAAACCGATATGTCTTACCATCGGTTTTACCACTTCGTCCATCTTTGGTTCTCTTGTGATACTTGTAAACGTTCTCGAATTTCTCCTTGCATTTCTTGGCACTTCGATGATACCCAAGCTCCGCTAGTTTCCTAACATTGAGAAACAACAACTTCAATATTTCTTTATTTGCACATAAAATAAACTACCAGTTGAATTCCACATGTATAACTGAGACTAGGGTGGTTAAGTAGTTGATCAGCTCGAACTCGACTCGGTCAAAACTCGGTAAATATTAGACTCGAGTTAGCTTGACTCGAATTCGAACTCGATACCTTAAGGAACTGAATCGAGCAAAGTCTAACTCGACTTGATAAATTCTCGAATAACTTGTTAATTTTTTAAAATATAATTTTAGTAATTACTTCAATATTATTTCATTCAAAAAATAAATCTAAATAATTATTAATTTATTAATAAAAAATAATAAGTTAACTAATATATTATTTTTAATAAATAATAAAATATTATTAATTATAATATTATTTTAATACAACACAAACAAACCCAACCCTAATATCCTATTATTAGTACATTCTATTTTTAGTTAAAAAATTGAGGTAAATTTTTTAGTGAGCTTAACAAGCAACGAGTCGAGTTTTACGAACGAGTTAAGCATCAAAATTTTTTAACGAGCACGAGTCGAACACAATTTTAATGAGCAATGAGTCGAGTCGAGGAGCAAATTTTTTTATCGAATACGTGTCGAGCACTACTCAACTAACGATCGACTCGCTCAATAAACACCTCTAACTGAGACGATCAGAAAGCTTTAGTAGAAGGGGAAAAAAAAGGAACTACGATAAACCCAGAATCGATACTGATGAACACAGTTAAAAACTCAGATCTCCATCTATCAAGCTTACACAACCTGAATCCTTCACTGAATGATAAAAAAAAAGAATAAGAAAACAAAAGATATCACCTTGAAACCTCTTCCCATAGTGGACCCTTAGTGCTAGCTTCGCGAAAGGTAACATCCATGTCGGACCTTATCTTCAAGAGTGCCAAAGTCTCCTGCTTCGGCCACCGGTTGCCTCCGAAAGTCCGCTCACCTTCATCGACCCGACCTCTATCGTCTTCACCTGAATTGTTACTATTGTTTCCATTCGAATCAAACATACCGCCAGCACCACCACCAGCTTCATTGCTTCCGTTACGACCTCCGCTGCAGCTAACCATGCCAGCAGCCGTAGAAGCGGCAACGGCAGTGGTATCACTTTCACCGCCTGCGCCGCTTCTGCTTTCAAGAACGGTACCACTAGTGTCACCACCACCCAGCATATATGACGTTTTTGGATGCGACAACTCCTCTCTTTGGCCCCTCCTCGGCAAGAGCTTGCTATTTTACTTACAGCTTTCAATGGCAAAAGGGAAAAAAAGTTGAATTAACAGAAAAGGAAAATATATGTCAACAGAGGAAAAGAGGCGGTGAATTTTATTTCTTGTAATTCAAAAAGGGTTTTCATTGAAGATGGATCGTATATGTATATAGGTGAATTTATTAATTTACTATGCTCTGTGGGATCTGCTTGTCAGATGTCCATCTCAGCAAGTAGTGTTTTCTTTTTCCTTTTTCACTTCAAAACTTTCATATTTTTCTCTCCTTTTTTGCAGTGGAATCTTCAGAGTTTTATTATTATTATCTTTTAAATAAATAAATGGGTTGGTTGGTTGGTTGGTCTTTGGTTAAAAAGAACAGCAAAGAGGAGCTGGGGGCTTCCTTTTTTATTTTTATTTTATTTATTTATGAGTAGTAATTAAAAAGTGGCACAGAAAGATATATATAATAAATGAAGAAAAAGATAAACAAATATTTCAGAATTTTATCTACAGCTGTTGCTGATCATTTTGCCTTTTTTATTTAGCTAAAAGCCCTCCTCTGCTTTTGTAAAACTTTTTTTTCACTTTCTTCCTTTCTTTATTTTTTAGAGGAAAAATATTTTTTATTAAAGAAATTAATGCAGAGTGAATTCCAACTTGGATTTTTAGTTTTTATTTTGCGTTCTAAACTTTACTGACAGTTGGCACCATTTTAGTAAAATAACTAAAATAGCCCCTAACATGGACATACACTATACTACTTTAATCATTGAAGTCAATTATTTTCAAAATAATTTTTTTATTATTCAATTTCACCATCTGAATAGCGATCTAGGTTTTCTTTGAGAAGCCCCAGATTTAATCATTACCCCCAAATATTTTAAAATATAGGTTAATTTAAAAAATTAAATATTTTGTAATTTAATTCAATATATATATATATATATATATATATATTAACTTTGAGATGATTCTATTGGATTATTTTTAAAAAAAATAAAATTGTTAACACACAATATGAATGGTGGTGACGGTTCAGAGAACCTTATGAAATGGTTCGAAGGGTTTTCATAAAAGAAAGGAAGATTTTGATTTTTTTTTTATACAATTTCAATTGCTTCAGGCTTGCTGTCCTACTAAGATACACGAGGAACTAATATGAGTTGTTCTTTGTCCACTCGAGGTACATGTAAGGTACGAGTCTAGGAAAGAAAACTTCCCAATTTTTATAAAGATGAATCAAATTCGATTCGATATAAAAATTTTAATTTATTTAATTATGAGTTATTCAAGTCGAGTTATATGTATTATTCGAGTTAATTTGAATTAGTGAGTCAATGTTTAAGTTTGAGTCGAGTTTAGATTTTACCAGTTCAAAAACTTAAATTAATGATGTCGTTTTGATATTTAGCTAAGCAATTTAACTGTTTTGTAATTTTTTTTTTTTGATTTTCATATTTCTTTAATTCTTTAGTCATTTTTAGTTAATTTTTCACCAAATATGAACTGCATGCTCTTAAAGCACTATAGAATACCTATATAGTTTCAATTCATTTATGAAATTAATTTTTTTATATTTGCAGTTTAATCCATCAACTTTACATGATTTCTCCATTTTTTTAATTTCTCCTTTGTATAGAGCAGTCTTGACTCTCGGGCATTTTCGGGGCCTAAGTGAAACTAAAAAATAGGCCTTTGTAGAATGAAAGTATATTTTATTACTTTGAACAATTAATTTAACATTACATTAATGAATCTTAGAAAAATTATTAAATTAGGGGCTTTAATTATAAAAGTAAAAAGTTTAATTGAAAAAATAAGGGCTTCAATTATAAAGGTAGAAAGTGAGATTGAAAAAATTAGGAGCCTCAATTATAAAGGTAATATATGGGATTGAAAAATTTTGGGGCCTCAACTATAAAGGTAAAAAGTAAGATTGAAAAAATTAGGGCTCTCACTTATAAAAGTAAAAAGAGATATTGAAAAAATTAGGAGGTTTAATTATAAAAGTAAAAAATGGGATTGAAAAATTTAGGATCGTTAATTATAAATGTAAAAAGTGAGATTAAAATAATTAGAGGCTTCAATTATAAAAGTAAAAAGTGAGATTTAAAAAAATTAGGAGTTACAAATATAAAGGTAAAAAATAAGATTAAAAAACTTCATGCTTTAGTTATAAGTGTCAGCTCAGTTGGTAGAGCACAAGGCTCTTAACCTTGTGGTCGTTGGATCGAGTCCCATGGTGGGCAATTCATAATTCAGAGGTCTCACACGGACCTGCTCTCAACCTGGTGTCTGGGAAAGCCTACTATCCTACCTTTCCCTTACCCCATTACATATGGGAATAAGGGTCAGCTAATGCTTTAGTTATAAGTGTAGAAAGGGAGAGAGAGAGAGAAATTAGGGGCCTCAATTAGAAAGATAAAAAGTAGGATTGAAAAAAATAAGGGTCTCAATTATAAAGGTAAAAAGTGGGATTGAAAAAATTAGAGCCCTCAATTATAAAGGTAAAAAATAAGATTGAAAAATTAGGGGTCTCACTTATAAAAGTAAAAAGTAAGATTGAAAAAAATTAGGAGCTTCAATTATAAAAATAAAAGGTTGGATTGAAAATTTAGGAGCGTTAATTATAAAGGTAAAATGTGAGATTAAAAAAAATAGAGGCTTTAATTATAAAGGTATAAAATGAGATTAAACAAAATTAGGGGCCTCAAATATAAAGATAAAAAGTGAATTGAACAAAATTAGGGGCCTCAAATATAAATGTAAAAACTGAGATTAAAAATTATAGTCTTTAATTATAAAGGTAGAAAGAGAGATAGAAAAACTATGGACCTCAATTAGAAAAGTAAAAAGTATGATTGAAAAAAATAAGAGCTTCAATTAAATGTAACAAGTGAGATTGAAAAAATTAGGGACCCAATTATAAAGTTAAAAAGTGGGGTTATTAAAATTAGGGGTCATACTTATAAATAAAATAATACTAACAAAATTAAATGGCTCAAAAAAAATTATTTTGAGAACGGGGATAAAGAGCTTGCATATTAGCAAGGAAATATACAAGCACAAAGACATTCAAAAAAGGTCCCATTAAAATTATGAAAATAAAAATTATGATTGAAAATTTTGGGGCCCTATAAAAAATGAGGACCCTGAGCAATAGCTCATCTTTCACCCTATTAGCCGGCTCTACCTTTGCATTAAGTATATTTTAACTAATTTTGAACAATGTGCTCGTCTACTACTATAGAATACATATGAAACTTTAATTCCTATTTTTTAACAAAATTTTTTGTTTTTCAATTAATCTATCAACGTTGTATTTTATTTAATTACGTCATTTAATTGTATTTTTTTAAAATTCTTTCTTCTTACTCTTAATTTCTTGATTCTTTTATACTTTCATCAATATTTTATCTTCAACATCTCTTTTTTATAAAATAATATTATAAATATATTCTATAAAAATATTTTTCTCCTGTGGTCAGACACACTTCAATCCGAGCAGTATTTGCATTGGTGGCCAGTTGGGATTTGCATTTAGAGCAGATGGATGTTAAAACTGCTTTTTTGCATGGTGATTTAGAGGAGCAGATCTACATGCGGCAACCTGAGGGTTTCACTCAACCTGGAAACGAGCATTTAGTTTGCAGATTGAAGAAATCTTTGTACGGGTTGAAACAGTCTCCGAGACAGTGGTATAAACGGTTTGACTCCTATATGATCAAGATTGGCTACAACCGATGTGAGTATGATTGTTGTGTCTATGTTAAGAGCCTTAATGATGGTTCTTTTATTTTTCTATTACTGTATGTTGATGATATGTTGATTGCTGCGAAGAACATGGATGATGTTATCGGTTTGAAAACTTTATTGAGTCAGGAATTTGATATGAAAGATTTAGGTGCTGCAAAGAAAATTCTTGGAATGGAAATTTGCAGGGACAGAGACTCAAGGAAACTGTGGCTATCTCAACGGGGTTATGTTGAGAAAATGCTAGAAAGGTTTGCGATGAGCAACACGAAACCAGTTAGCACTCCATTGGCGAATCACTTTAAGCTCTCATCAGAACAGTGTCCTAAGACAGATAAGGAAGCTGAAGATATGGCAAATGTTCCGTATTCTAATGTTGTTGGCTGCTTGATGTATGCGATGGTATGTACTCGTCCTGATTTAGCTCATGTTGTTAGTCAAGTTTGTAAGTACATGTCTAAACCTGATAAGCAACATTAGGAAGCGGTCAAGTGGATCTTTCGGTACTTAAAGGGTACTGTGGGACATGGAATTGTTTTTGGGAGTCAGTAGGATAATCCTTTGGTTGTAGGATATGTGGATTCAGACTATGCAGGTGACTTGGATAATAGAAGATCTACAACAGGGTATGTCTTTACTCTTGGTGGAGGGCCTATTTGTTGGAAGTCTACTGTTCAATCTGTTGTGGCTCTATCTACAACTGAAGCTGAGTACATGGCAGCGGTTGAAGCTGCAAAAGAGGCTTTATGGCTTACTGGTTTGGTGAAGGAGTTGGGTGTTCAGCAAGGTGGAGTTCAATTGCTTTGCGACAATCAAAGTGCTATTCACTTGGCTAAGAATCAGGTGTATCGTGCTAGAACTAAACATATTGATGTAAGGTTCCACAAGATCAGAGAGTTGGTTGCATCTGGAGAGGTTCTGTTTCAGAAGGTACATACTGATGAGAATGCCGCTGATATGTTCACTAAGCCAGTTACGACAGACAAGTTCAAGTATTGCTTGGACTTGTTGAATGTTTCAAGTTGTTAAAGAACTAAGGTAACCCAACCCACATTGAATGTTTCCTAAGGGGCAGGATATTCGCCAAGGTGGAGATTTGTAAGGTATGGCTCATAAATATACCGGTAAAGAGGACAGGGGATGGAGCGGAGTGAGCGAACATCAACTGTCCTTACAAAGAAAGTCTCGTAGAGGGGGTTACGATTATGTGTGTTGGGGTGCGGGGGCGTAGCCCCCGCGGTACGGTACAGGGTTAATTTTGTAATTATGTACTAGGGTTTTCTATTATAAATAGAGATGTAACCTAGACCTAAAACATATTGAATAAAATTTTCTAGCGCCGC